AGAGTCTCACTGTGTTGCCCTGGGTAGAGCGCTGTGGCGTCACTGCTCACAGCAACCTTAAACTCTTGGGCTCAAGCCATTCTCCTGCCTCAGCCTCCCAAGTAGCTGGGACTACAGGTGCCTGCCACAATGCCCAGCTATTTTTTTGGTTGTAGTTGTCACTGTTGTTTGGCAGGCCTGGGCTGGATTTGAACTTGCCAGCTCTGTGTATGTGGCTGGTGCCCTAGCCGCTGAGCTACAGGCGCTGAGCCCAAAGACTAAACTATTAAAAAGAAGTCACAGTGTAGCTGTCACCAGCTCTGGTGCAGTGGCTTATGCCTGTGGTTGTAGCAATTTTGGGAGGCCAGGAGTTTGAGACCATCCTGGGCAGCACAGTGAGACCCCATCTCTAACCAAAAAGAATGGAAATTTAAATAAATTCTTTAATGAGTTCAACTAATTACTGATAAAACACTGGAAATTAGCTTAACGACTCCCTTGCTATTTTTATTACACTGTCAATGTGTTTAGCCAGTTTTCTTCCTAGAGATGAAAACTTTCATTTTAGCTAATCCTTTCCACATCATCACAATTTAGTGATAAAGGAGACTTTTCAGGTTAGTGATATAGTGAGCATGAATTTTTGTAGAAAATTCTGATTCTCTCATGTTTTAATATGGATTGTTTTTATTTAACTTTCAGATCAAAGGAAGTTGCCTTTGAACCACAAACTTCACGTTACTTAAATGAATTTGAAGAGCTTGCCATCTTAGGAAAAGGTGGATATGGAAGAGTATACAAGGTAGTTTTCCACATACTTGTTTTGACCTTCTGCTCTGCAAATAAGTGTACTGTGAGAGGTTGTTTTCATTATTGTTATCTGACATGCTCAATGGAAAATTACTGGAAATTACTTACTTTTCATTAAGATCTGTCATTTACAAGGAAGTAGTCAGATTCTTTTTTTTTCTAAAAGCATTGATATTTTAGGTGGATTCTGGAACTTTGAATTTGTGTTCTGTAGTTAATTTTTATTAAAAATGTGTTACTATAAAAAGTTGTGCTGGCTTCATGTCTATAGAATAGTAGTTATGGCACCAGCCACATTACACCCAGGCTGGTGAGTTTGAACCCGGACTGGACCAGCTAAACAATGAAGACAGCTGCGACAAAAATAGCTGGGCATCTTGGCAGGCACCTGTAGTTCCAGCTACTTGGGAGGCTGAGGCAAGAGAATCCCTTCAGCCCTAGAGTTTGAAGTTGTTGTGAGCTGTGATGCCATGGCACCCTACTGAGGGTGACGTTGTGAGACTCTTATCTCAAAAAAGAAAAAAAATTGTACTACTGTATTTTGAGGCTTACATAGCCCTTTTGCTGATATCCCTATTCCTGGAGCTTCCAGGGGTTAGACTGTCAATACAGTTTGAAAAGTTTATAGTCTCGCTGACTAGGGCTGGCTTCCCGGCACATAGTAAGAGGAAGACATGTCTTTAGTTTAATTTTATCTCTTTGGCTAGTTTGGATTATTTAAACTCAGATTAAAAGAATTTCTTGGCCAAGTGTGATGCGTGTAATCCTAGCACTCTAGGAGGCCAAGGCAGGTGAATTGCCTGAGCTCAGGAGTTCCTGACCAGCCTGAGCAAGAGTAAGATGCCATCTCTACTAAAAATACAAAACTAGCTGGGTGTGGTGACTTGAGAGGCTGAAGCAAGAGGATTGCTGAAGCCCAAGAGATTGAGGTTGCTGTGAGCTATGATGCCATGGCACTCTACCCAGGGAGAGTAACAGCAACAGCAATAATAAAGAACTTCTTTATTTAGTAAGAATTTAATGGTACAATTTGCTTTGTTTTTTCTTCTACTTTTTAGGTCAGGAATAAATTAGATGGTCAGTATTATGCAATTAAAAAAATCCTGATTAAGGGTGCAACTAAAACAGATTGCATGAAGGTATGATTTTTAAAACTTATTTATTTTGAATAATTGTGTATTTAGTTCCTTTTGAAAGCATTACATGTGTATGTTTGTATGTAGGCAGTTCCGGGGTTATGAATGAGATAGATTTTGAGAGTTTGTTCTTAAGTCAGATTTGTACGTAAGTTGGAACAGGTACATTTACTTATTACCTGTAGTAGCCTCTGTTCATGTCAGTCAGATGTTTGTTAGACTTGTTGTAATAGCCCCCATTCATAAGTGTGAGTTGTATAAAAGTCAGATGTTTGTAACTGTTTGGCAAATAGTAGATGGTATGGACTGCCTATTCACTAAAGATAGGGTTATAATAAAGTAGAATAACATCAAAACTAAATTTTTATTTGATGTAATTTTTATAGGTACTTCAGACTGACCACATTTCAAGTGGTGAGTCGGAGAAATTAATTTTTAAAACAAATGGTTAATATATAATATAGCTAGTTATAAAAAAACATGGCCCAGTTCAGGTCCCAGTCTGCTCCCTTATATGCCATGTTCCTGCGAAAATTGCCTTGTCCTCTGAGCCACTCTGTCTCCCACCCTAAAGAAGTTGTGACAGCAGTGGTTTTACATACCGTGGAGGACTAGAATGGGAATCAAAGGAGAGAATGGTGACAAGTGAGCTATAAAAAGGATAAAGTGCTATATAAATGTAAGTTGTTGAGTTGCTCTAACAATTCCCATTTGTCTATCACAAAAATATTTTCATTATTTTAACATAATTTAGATTCCTTATACAGAGGGATTTTTTTTTTTAATAGAGCCTCCTCGTCTTGTCATGAGAGTATGTTGAAAATACGTATTATCATCATTTAATGTTCCTTAATGAACACCATAGCTCAGCCTAGCCTACTTTAAATGTGTTGAGAACTTACATTATCTAACAGTTGCACAAAATCAACTAGCGCGAAGCCTATTTTATAATAAAATGTTGAATATCCCTTGCATAGCATATTGGAAACCTGAGAAAAGATCAAAATTTAAAGTATGTTGAAAATTCTGACCGTTTTGTGCTATTGTTAAGTCAGGGGTGGTGTGTATTTTGCCCTGTAATAAGGGCTATTTGATTCCATGAGCATTTAAGAAGTTGTCAGTAAAAGCAAAATTTAATTATGTTTCTTTTTTAGGTGTTAAGGGAAGTGAAGGTGCTGGCAGGTCTTCAGCACCCTAATATTGTAGGCTATCACACTGCGTGGATAGAACATGTTCATGTGGTCCAGCCACAAGGTAAGCAGTTTTTGATGATATAGTAATTGAAGGGTTGGCAAGGATTCGCCCAGAGACTGAATCTGGCCTGACCTTGTTTTCGGATATACCACAAGCTGAGAATGGTTTTTACAGTTTTGAGTAGTTATAAGAAATCAGAAGAATATTTTGTGAGAATTATGTGAAATGCAAAATTTCAATGTCAGTTATAGTTTATTAGAACACAGTCTCATTTATTTATATATTTTCTATTGTCTATGGCTACTGTTACACTGTAACTCAAGAGTCCTCAGACTTTTTAAACAGGGGGCCAGTTCACTGTCCCTCAGACCGTTGGAGGGCTAGACTATGGGCCCCGGGACTAGTCAGCTGCTAAGCGGGACAGGCAGTGGCGGCAAAAACACCCGGCGGGCCACATAAATGTCCTAGGTGAGCCACATGTGGGCTGTGGGCCGTCGTTTGAGGATGCCTGCTGTAACTGAATCGAGTACCTATGGCAGAGTTCCGTAGGGTCTTCAGAACCTAAATGATTGATGAACAGGTCCTCTAGAGAAAATTTGCTGACCCCTTGTATATTTGAACAGCTGTTTTTATAGTTTTTTTTTTCTTTCTTTTTTTTTTTTGAGACAAAGAGTCTCAAGCTGTCACCCTGGGTAGAGTGCCATGGCATCATAGCTCACAGCAACCTCAAACTCTTGGAATTTAGCGATTCTTTTGCCTCAGCCTCCCAAGTAGCTGGGACTATAGGTACCTGCCACAATGCCTGGGTATTTTTTTGTTGCAGTTGTCATTGTTTTAGCTGGCCCTGGCTGGGTTCAAACCTGCCAGCCTCTGTGTACGTGGCTGGCACCCTACCCAGTGAGCTACCAACACCACCAGTTTTTGTAGTTTTTTTAAATGTGTCAGGCCAAGTGGCTCATGCCTGTAATCATAGCACTTCGGGAGGCCAAGGCGGATAGATTGCTTGAGCTCATAATTTTGAGACTAGCCTGAGCAGAAAGCGAGACCCCCATCTCTACTAAAAATAGAAAAACTGAGGCAAGAGGATCACTTGAGCCCAAGATTTGGAGGTTGCTGTGAGCTATGATGCCACAGTACTCTACTCAGGGTGACAGCTTAAGACTGTCTCAAAAAAAAAAAAAAGAAAAAAATAAAGTAAAATGTGCCAATCTTGGATAAAATTGTATGTATTTTGTCAGAAAGTCATGGCTTTTTTAGATATATAATTTCATTTAGTACTGTTTGTATATTTTACCTCTCCCTTGACTATAAATTGGAAAAACTGGGCTGTTAGAAGATTTTTTTGTTTTTGTTCAGCAGACAGAGTTTCCATTCAGTTGCCATCTTTGGAAATGCTCTCTGACGAGGCAGAGGACAGGTATGTGGATTGGTGTGTACTTCTGGATACATTCCTGTGTTTCCCCGAAAATAAGGCCTACCCAAAAAATAAGCCCTAGCAGGATTTCTATGCATTTGTTAAATATAAGCCCTACCCTGATAATAAGACCTAGTGATGAGCGTGGCTATACAGCATATCTGCAAGGAGAGGAAGCAAGGAGAGCATTTCAGCAAGGAGAGGAAGACATCCCCTGAAAATAAGCCCTAGTGTGTTGTCTTGAGAAAAAATAAATATAAGGCAGTGTCTTATTTTTGGAGAAACACGGTAGGACATTACCTGCTGTTATTATCTTGGGTTATCTTAGCCTTTGGCTACAAGGAACTCAGGAGGAAAGTTTTAGACTTTCTTTTTTCTTATTTTCATTACAAAATGTTAAATTATTTCCTTCTGTTAGATATTTCCTTTCAGTATTTTAAATAAATCTTAATGCTAGACAAATTTGAGCCAGCGTTTTAGAAATTTAACAGTAGGTTTCATATAGACTTGAAGGAACAGTTGAGTTACTCTTGATCTTTTTGCAGTGACTTTGTTTTTACATTGACTTTGTCTGCACTGTTTTTTTTCTTCCAGAGATGAATATGGTATTAAAAATGATGGAAGTGGTAGCTCTTCTATTATCTTTGCTGAGCTTACCTCAGAAAAAGAAAAACTCTTTGGAGAATTGGACACTGAAAATCAGAATAACAAATTGATGAACTATACCATTAATTTAGTCATAAAAGACGACAATGAATTAGACTCGTCCTTTGAGCTCCAAGATAATGGTTTGGCTGATTTGTCTACCAGATCAATTGTTAAGCAGCAGCGGCTACTTAGGCATAACTCAGACCTAGAAGAGAATTTTACATCCACTGAAGAATCTTCCGAAGAAAATGTCAGCTTGTTGCAGCAGACAGAGGTAGATTACTTCACAGAACAGAACCTACCAATTTGATGTTTACCCATAGTAATTGAATGATGGACTGTGATTTTGTGTGGCCTTCCGTCTTCCTCAGCTCACTTCCCACCTCATACTCCTGCCTCTCTCAGCTTTGGCTTCTCTCTCCTCTGTTCAGTCTCTTGTATACACCATGTTCTCTTTGCCAAATGGCCTTTGTATTTGGTTTCACTTCTTTCACTTAGTTAATTCCTACTAACCATTTCTGACCTCGATTGGATCATTTACTTCTCTAGATAGATATTCTTGTAATGTATTGTGAAGCTGGAAACCTCATTCACCCTCTATTTCTATTGTATGTTAGCATCAAGCTCTAAAAATATATTTATGCAAAGGAGGCCAGACTCCATGGCCCATGCCTATAATCCTAGCACTTTGGGAGGCTGAGGCAGGAGGAATCACTTGAGGTCAAGAGTTCAAGACCAGCTGGGCAACATAACAAGTCTCTGTCTCTAAAAAAAGATTTTTTTTTTTTAATTAGCTGGCTGTGGTGGTGTGCCCCTATAGTCCTAGCTACTTGGGAGGCTGAGGTGGGAGGCTCAGGTGGGCTGAGTTGAGGCCAGGAGTTTGAGGTAAGCTGTGATTGTATCACTGTATTCACAGCCTGGGTAACAGAGCAAGACCCTGAGACCCGGTCTTCAAAAAAATGTTTTTGGGGGTGGTGCCTGTGGCTCAAGGAATAGGGTGCCAGCCCTATATGCTGGAGGTGGTGGGTTCAAACCTGGTCCTGGCCAAAAAAAAAAAAAAAAAAAAAGTTTTTTGGCTGAGTGTGGTATAATCCCAGTCTGTAATCCCAGTACTCTGAGAGGCTGAGGTGGTTGGATTGCTTGAGCTCAGGAGTTCAGCCTGAGCAAGAGTGAGATACCATCTCTACTAAAAATGAAAAACTGAGGCAAGAGGATCACTTGAGCCTAAGAGTTTGAGGTTGCTGTGAGCAGTGATGCCACGGCACTACGGAGGGGGACAAAGTGAGACTCTGTCTTTAAAAAAAAAATTTATATAAAATTTTTTGAGCATAGCTTTCAGTGAGTCCCAGTAGGATTGCCAGGTCAAATTTTAGAATACTCTTTTTTATTTTTATTTATTTTTTTGAGACAGAATCTTACTATGTCACTCTTGGTAGAGTGCTGTGGTGTGACAGCTCACAACAACCTCAAACTCTTGGGCTTAAGGGATTCTCTTCTCTCAGCCTCCCAAATAGCTAGGACTACAGGCGCCTGCCACAAGGCCTGGCTATTTTCTTGTTTTCTTGTTGTTTAGCTGGCCTTGGCCAGGCTCGAACCCGCCAGCCTTGGTCTACGTGGCCATTGCTGTAACCACTGTGCTATGGGCGCCGAGCTTCTCTTTTTTATTTATTTATTTATTTATTATTTTTTTGAGAGAGAATCTAATTATGTCGCCCTCGGTAGAGTGCTGTGGCATCACAGCTTGCAGCAACCTCAGACTCTTGGGCTTAAGCGATTCTTTTGTCTCAGCCTCCCAAGTAGCTGGGATTACAAGTGCCCACAACTCCTGGCTATTTTTTGCTGCAGTTGTCATTGTTGTTTTAGCTGCCCCGGCCAAAAACTGCAAAAAAAAAAAAAAAAATTGTAATGCTCAACATATATGGATAACAAAGATGAATACAAGTGACATTGAGCACCTCTTACTATTGCAGAAGTTAAACATGACTTGAGTATTACAATTTTTTTTTTTTTTTGAGATGGAGCCTCAACCTATCCCCCTGGGTAGAGTACCATGGCATCACTCTCACAGCAACCTCCAACTCCTAGGCTCAAGCGAGTCTCCTGCCTCAGCCTCTCAAGCAGCTGGGACTACAGGC